GGCGCATGTGCCGAGTTCGTTTGGCGAAACCTCGTATCGGCGCGCGTGTCGCTTTATGAAAAAGCCACGTGACCGATACAGCCGCAGTGTCGCTTGTCCCGACACGGCAAACTGTGTTTAAAAGGTTCCGCATCTGCAAGTGTCACCGGTATGAACCGCTCTCAGAAAAAGAAAATAACCCTTTCAAAAAGGAAAAACATCCCATTTTACAGCATAAAAATGGAACCTGCCACTAAAAGAAAGTATTCTGCAGTGTGATACTGCAAATAACAGCAAATAAGGCAATGTTTGCATTTTACATTTCACGCTTTATCTACAATCAAGATTTAGTTTGAAACGGAAAATCTAGTCAGGCATGGTGGATGAGTGGATAGCGCTCTCACCTCGCGTTTAAAGAGAACCGGGTACGAATCCCTGTCGGACCTCAAAAGTTTATGTTGACATCACAGTCCTGAAGAATGATTTCGAGAAATTGAAGTGTAGAAAATGTCAAAGGATTATTCAAGTATACTTTAGTTGCCAGGGTTTACAGTGCACTTTGGACATGCTTATTGTTTTGAAAAAATATATATATATATAAAATCACTCAATGACATTTTGCTTAATGAATACATCCACAACTATCACTTTAATTTTCACATAAAAAATAAAATAACACAGACAATGCAGTTACGTGATATTGTGTACAGACAAGTATGTAATGTTCATTGAATCAGTGAGTTGGATGTAATGATTTATCAGATCCACCAGGCGTCAGTATAGAGCAGCACAAGCAACACTGTTGGGACACAGTATCAATACAGTTCGTTGGATGTGCCGAAACGATACGTGAGGTTTCATTTACCCATCACTAGTATTTATTAAACAGAAGTAGAGGGGGGTTCCTGGGAGGCGGATGGAGAGGTAGACTGGGCTATGGCAGGTGGAGGATGAAGGTGAACTGGAGCTGGACACACCAAGGATACTGGAGAAAACGGAGAAAAACAAAAACAGGTAAGTAACAAGTAACAAGTAGTCAAAAAGGCTAAGAGTAGCACCACTTCTCGTGACGGAACAATCTGGCACTGGAGAGCCGGTCTGCATGGCTTTTGAATGTTGAGATGATTGTTGATTGGTGCAGGTGTGCAGCTCCACAGGTGCAGGTAACGAGGTGTCCCAGGAAGGGTCCAGAAGGGGAGGGGCCGAACAGGAGGAGCTGCAACACTTTTACCTTAAAGACAATGGCCCCGTCCCAATACTCACACTTCCACCCTCACGCCCCTCATTTGCGCGTTCCCGATAAAGGGTGCTCTCCAGGGAGGTCTTTGGCCCCGCCCCCTTTGCGCCCCTGATCCACACTTTGCCGTAGCCTGCATCTATGCGCACTCTGGCAAAGGATATTGCCCATAATTCTTTGCGGTACTCACCAAAACGTTGGGAAATGCATTTAAATATAAATTTTGAAATATATATGCAGTATGTGTGTAAATAAGTTTTGCTGTTACTTGGAAAGAAGCATAAACGTCTGATGAAGAATTACGGACATCGTGTTTTAACAATTTAATAACTTTTAAAGCAAGCGTTTATATAACATTCAATTTAAACTTTACACTTAGTACAATAATCTTAGAATGTATAAAAACTGACCAGATAGTTACCCACATTTAACTTAAAATTATACAGCTATCTTTAATTAAAAACAACTAATATACATGTATTTTAACGTGTGTGAAGCAATTCATTTTGTTTCCCAAAGGGTCAGACAAAATTACCTTTAATGTTTATAAAGTTTAGGTCTGAAAATGACCATCTCTGGACGAGTCGATGACGTAACCTGCACTCAGTGTGCACTGTCCCAATTCTGCCTTTTGTGCACACTTGCAACCTGCGCACTCCAACCCTGGTGTGCACTTCCAACAAATGCACACTTCGTAGGAGGGCGTAGGGTGCAGTGTGGGTATTGGGACTGGGCCAATGACACTGTTGACTTTGTCTTTTCATGTAAGTCCCTGTGCTACCACCAGAGGGACCAGAGAGAGACCTCCACTGTTACAGGAAACTGAGGTTCCATTTCTAGAGGAGAGACAAAGAGGATGTGTTTTATTTCACACTGATGGTTTTACTGAAAAAACAAAAACCATTTGAACCCAACATTAATTCATGACAGAAATATCTGAGATTGTATTTGCATAAAAACACGTATTGTGGATTTCTCACATGACTGCAGTGAAGGTCTTTCTGTGTGTGTTTGTGTGTCAGTGATTGTGTGTTTGTGTGTCAGTGATTGTGTGTTTGTGTGTGTTATCTTTCAATGGTGGTTTTACGAGCTGTGATAGTAGCTGTACTGCTTCAAAATATCTAAAATAGGTTATTGACAAAGTAAACAAAAACAGGGCAATTGCATGTTGTGTCTATTAAAGCTGGGGTACCTAAATAATCAGGTTTCCCAGACCCCTAAAAACAGTAGCTCCCCCATCATCGTCAAAATAAAAGCCCTGGAACACGTTGGAACTAACTTTAACCCAATGTCATGTGACCAACAGGCGATGAACTCTCCACAGGTGAAAGTAGATCCTCACGTTTCTGCCTTTCTCTCCATTTTGAAAGAACTCAAACTTCCAAACAGGAGGGAGCAGCAAAAGTGGGACTATCGTTGGTGTGATTCCTCATGTGTTCAATGCCCATGTGAGAAAAGCTTCAGAAACAACCATCTCATCTGGACTTTTGAAATAGAGGCCATTTTCCTGCCCTTCACAGGTCCTTCATGACCCATGCACGACAGTCCAAAAGTCTCCATTCTCCAACATTGTTCAGAACAGGTGACTACTGCTGTAACCTTCCCGATCATGTGACCAACACCACGTCAATGGAATCAGAGTCTGGACCAAGTCTCTCTGGACATGTATGTGAGCTGTCCTGGGTCAGGTACCCCAGCTTTAATGCTTTAATGCATCTACTCTTTGTCACCACTAGATGTCATCGTTTAGAGAGAGAGGACACTTCACAATATGCAACACTTTTATTCTGATAAACAGGAACTCAAACAAAAATATACACATTTTTATTTCACAAAAACACTTTTACAAACAGCAGCAACTAACTGTGACCCAAACCTTTACCTGAGCCCAGGACACACAGGTTTACACTTCTGTACTCTGCAAACTTCATCTCAAATAAATCCAAAAGTCCAGGGGGTCTGTGTCTCTCACATGGGAACGCCTCAGGACTCCACTCTGTTGTGTTTCCATCCCACTCTAGTATCTGGTACCATATCCTAGCAACCAACCACAACAAACCAGTATTCGGGGAATGGTAACCTTGGTAACCTTGACTTCCATCACCTTTCGGGCCAATCACTGTCAGTTAGAACACTTTAGTTTGGCCTGGATAGAACCAGGGCTGAGCTGGTACTATTTGGGTAGAGCAGAGTAGAGTAGAGTCGAGTAGAGTAGAGACAGCACGAGAGAGACGTCACAGCTCGAGAGAGACGTCACAGCACGAGAGAGACGTCACAGCACGAGAGAGACGTCACAGCTCGAGAGAGACGTCACAGCACGAGAGAGACGTCACAGCTCGAGAGAGACGTCACAGCACGAGAGAGACGTCACAGCACGAGAGAGACGTCACAGCTCGAGAGAGACGTCACAGCACGAGAGAGACGTCACAGCTCGAGAGAGACGTCACAGCTCGAGAGAGACGTCACAGCACGAGAGAGACGTCACAGCTCGAGAGAGACGTCACAGCACGAGAGAGACGTCACAGCACGAGAGAGACGTCACAGCACGAGAGAGACGTCACAGCACGAGAGAGACGTCACAGCACAAGAGAGACGTCACAGCACGAGAGAGACATCACAGCTCGAGAGAGACATCACAGCTCGAGAGAGACGTCAGACTAGATTCAGACTCTTAGACTATATCTACAGTATTTACAGTACTGTACTGTATTGTAAGTTAGCCTGGCTCTGCCAGACCCATGTAGTTCCGCCGTGCTCCACCAGAGGTGTTTGAGCCACATTGGTCTGGGACTCTTTGATAAGAGTTGGATTTCAGAAGGCAGGGCCTTGTAGAAAAAATCCTTGTATGTGATTGGATAAACCACTTGTCCGTTTTCTTGAATGACGTCTGCTTTCAACCACTCACATCAAAGCACACGACTCCCATAGGTTGCCAAATGCCGGCAACATTATCCAGCCCAAAATCCGCGAGAATGCCCAAAAATAATAAACACTCAGAATCATTTTTGGGCTAAAAACGTTATGTAATCAACTTGATCATGATTCTGTTTATTGTCTTTCTGTTTATTTATTACCTACAAGTCTCTTGGAAAAAGTATGCGGGAAACCACCCAACCTGGCAACCCCGCTGCATAGTGTTGTAACAGGAACACTGAACCGGTGCTTAAACCAAACTTTACAGGAACATTTGACTCTTAAAACACACTTACATCAACATAGAACCATCAACATCTCGCCTCATATTGCGGTAAAAGTGACATCTGTGTCTTAATTTGTTCGTATTTAAACTTGTCAGACACGCACGAGAAGGCAGTGCAAACCCGACGTTACACCGGCGATCCTGATTGGTCGATTATTTTCTGATCTGCAGAAGGAGTTTGGTATATGCTCGATACCAGACCAATGTGGTTCAGCCAAACACCTCTGGTGGAGCATGGAGGAACTACATGGGTCTGGCAGAGCCTGGCTAATTGTAAGTTGCATTGAGCGTCACAAAAAGACTAAATGATAAACAGAATAAAACCAGTGAAAAGGACGGCAGTGGACTGCAGTTTTTATATAAAGTACTGTTTGTGTTGCTTCCAATCTGAAAGTGTGTTCACATGATGCATGATGTAACATTCGAAAAACAATAATGCATTATTTTTGTTCTTTAAAGTTTCTGTTAACAAGATGTTTTGTTCCACGCAGAGCTCCTGAAGTCATCCTGGGACTCCCTTTCAATCAGTCCATAGACATCTGGTCCTTAGGCTGTACTTTGGTTCAAATGGTCACCAGAGTTCAAATGTTTTCCAACGATAGTGAATTCAAAAATGTAAGCCCAACATTGCTCTAAAGTATTTGCACTTTCCTAAACTCGAGAAAGTTACACCTGTTTCATGCTTCTGTCTTTTCAGATGGAGACTATGGTCAAACTGCTTGGACTGCCAAACTCCTGTGATCTGGACAAAGGTCTTAGAACAAGAGAGTTCTTCAAACGTGTTGGAGGTGGATGGGCGCTGAAGGTAACGTATTTTTCTTTCTTCTGTCATGTCTTAAGCGGCTCATGTCAACACAGTAAATACTTTGTATCTTTTGTTCTAGACTCTCGAGGAGTTTGAAGACTTTCCCAATTTTCGTTCGGCTTTGACACATCTATACTTTGAAAGATGTCCTTCAGAGACCGAACTAGTCCCGGTAAGTTTATTGAGTGGACATTTTCTGGAATTGGGAAATATTTTCAAATTTAGAGTTTTGTGTTATATTCATAGCATGATGCCATTTTTTACAGTTCTACATGAAGAATCCTAAAGAGCTGACTGAATGCTTGGACCTGGCCGAGAGCATGCTCTATCTTGAAGAATCTGACAGAATCACTGCTGCTGAAATTATGGAACATGACTTTATCATGTGAGTTTCGTGCTGCTCTGCTTCCTTTGAAACTACTACATTTCTACAAACGCCTTCTAGATCAGCTCTTCTAATGTTTATATTCTGTTCTACAGTTGGAAGAATGAAAACACTTATGCCAGTCAAGAAAGTTCCTAAGGCTACTCCCAAGGTTTTGGTGAAACCGGTTCAACCAGAAAGCACCGGAAATTCAAAGGAGGTTGTCGACTCGCAGAGGAAGAAGTAAGGCTTGGTTTTGGCTGGGTTCATACAGGGCCCACAAACTGATGATGAAAAATAAGGTGAAAAATAATAATAAGTAATTGTTTATTTTTTAGGATTCTGATGTCCAAAGAGAAGGCTCGTAAAACCTTTGATGTGATCCAACAGAAGGACAGGTGAGACTTGTTTACAGATCCTGTTTGAGTTCGCTCTCATCTCCCACAAAGCACACATACAACCTGCCAAAAAACTCTCCATATCAACGCCGTTCTCTGTCTGTAAACTGCGTCCGTTTTTCTGGCCACACATTAACCCTTCCCCCTGTGGTACAAACCTTGGTGTCAGGTTCGACCTTCTGCCTTTTTATCCATTCTTAAACTTGTTTGTACTTTTTCTGATGCTCTGATTGTGATTTTAACCTGCCGTAGCACCTTGGGCATTTGAAAGCTGCGTTATAAATGATATGCATTCATTTTATAATTATTGTTTGTCCCATAAAGCTCCCAGACGACTTTCATCATTTCAGTTTGATGTAACTAAAAAGTCGCTCTTCTAATGTTGATGTTGTTTACAGACGCAGTGAGAGCAACAAAGCTGAGCTCCAGGAGGCTCCTGTGATCTCTCCCAGGGTCATTATGGTGAAACCGGCCTCACCAGAGAACATCATCGAATTCCAGGAGCTTGATGATGTTCAGAAGGAGAGGTGAGGTTTGATTTTGGATGATTTTTTACTTGCCTTATAAGCTACAGAAACACATTCTGTTTATTTTTACAGAATCCTTCAATACAGTGAATTATGCAAAAAGTAATTGTTTATTTGTTTTGTTTCTAGTCACAAGGTTCTGATGTCCAGAGAGAAGGCTCATAGAAGCTTTAACATGACCCAACAGAAGAACAGGTGAGACTGTTTCAGGGACTTTGTGTTCACTCTAACACTCCATAGAGCAAGGGTGTCAAACCGGTTCCAGGAGGGACCAGTGAGGCTGGAGGTTTAGTTCCAACTTGAACAGTCTGGTGTGTTCCTGCTCAGGTTGGAATTAAAACCTGCAGCCACACCGGCCCTATAAGTCCCAGTTTGACACCCCTGCCATAGAGCCTGCTTGAGTTAGCTCTAATCTTCCATGGAGCATTTGTTTGTCCCTAAAAAGCTCCCAGAAGGCTTTGTTACATGATGTCTGCTTTAAGAAACTGTGAAGATTGCCCTCTTTTGATGATGTTCACAGACGCAGTGGGAGCAGCAGAGCTGAGGTCCAGGAAGCTCCTGTGTCCTCTCACAGGGTCATTATGGTGAAACCGGCCCGACCAGAAAACACCATACGATTGCAGGAGGGTGACCTGGTAAAGAGGTGAGAAGCACAGGCTTTTTACTTTACTTAAAGCATGACAGCTTATTTCCACAGTAGGCTTTAACAGCGCGTAAGCGTTGACTACGCACATTTGAGCGTACCATTATTTAGCTGTATGGACACTGGCCGTGCGCGTAGGTCCGCGGCTTTTGATGCTCTCCCTGTGTAGTCTATGGAGCAGTGTAGAGGACAGTACTGACCAGAGGACTGATGTAGAACATCAATCAATCAATCAATCAATCAAATTTTATTTATAAAGCGCTTTTCATACAAAAGATGCAACACAAAGTGCTTTACAGTTTGGTTAAAAACAATCCCGCCGGCCCAAGACCCCTCCCCCAGACCACCCAACAGACCCACCCTAAACCACAGACAAACACACACATGCTCCCATGAACACCCATACACACACACACACACACACACACACACACACACACACACACACACACACACACCAGTAAAACAATAAAACCATGATGAGAGACTGGGCAGGGTTCAGATGCAACCAGCTGAAAAAGCACCATCCAAGGAGCCGTCTGCACCAGGAGCAGAGAGCCGCCTGTAGCCACAGGGGACGACACAGAACCCAGAGGAGACACGAAACCGAGGCCCCAGGCCCCCACCAGGCCCAAGAGTCCGACCCCACAGACACACCGACCACTGCTCCCAGTGCAGAGGGCTCATCCAGAGGAAACAATACAATAACAATACAATAAGTAAAACACTAAAATGTGAGACTAAAAGGAACATCATAAATCACATGCATGTGTTTGTCTTCATGGTCTCTGTGCGCTGGTTTGGCCAGACGTGAGACTTTATGAATACAAATAGAAACAATGTCCAGAATCACTTTAAAACCTGCTGTTCCTGCGTGCGTGTCTGTTTGGATGTGATCTAGAGCCAAGGATCGCTAGAAAAATCATGTTTCCATGTGTTTTGACTGGGAGACGCGTTCCGTCATACGCTCGTAAAACACCAGTAGTGAAGACCATTGGTTAACATAGAAAAATGTTACGCGCGTACAACGTCTCCTGTGTAAATTAGCAGTGAGAAAAACAATCTGTTCAAGGACAGACACAGGCTCCAGACGCCTCAAACTTTAGTAAACACAACTGGCCTTTTATGTTTGACTCCAACAATAGCCCTCTCCAATACGTAGTACAATTATGCTGCTGTATTCCTAACTGTATTTGCTTTGCAAATCAAATGGCAATTGCAAGTAGTAAATATTTAAAATTATCCTTTGAACCTCTATATATTGCTTTCATGCCAATGTGAATAAAGACAACATGGTCATCACTTAATCATGAAATGAGAAAAAACTTTATTGATCTCACAATGAAGAAATCTACAATGAATCACAACTGCATCACAAATCAAACCAAATGAAATATTCTGAGTAGAATCTTGGTTTACTAATGCGTGGGCACTCCTGATCTAAGACTGGTCTAAAGATGTAGCAGAGACCAACAATACAAGCATGTGAAAACAAATGATAGAAGAAACTATTTTGAGAACCGGGAACTAGTAGATTCATGGACTTCATGACACTTCATGACAAAGTTGGTTAACTCAGCTTTAACAACCAAGTGGACAATAAGAGACTAATCCCAGATGTTTTCTTTAGTGTGACGAGTGTGGAGCTCCACTCCGCAGAGAGGACCACACAGAGAGACCCTATTCAGGACCAGCAGCAGAGTGACAGGTCAGGAAGGACTTCAGTCTGTTTAAATGCTTTGATCGGTCTTTGTAGCTGTAAAGAAAGTTTGATCCTTGTGTGGAGTCTACAGTAACATGTTGTTTTCCTGCAGTCGACTTAATATGGAGACAAAGGCTGAAGACAGAGAGCCCGCTCTGATACAGACTCCCACGTCTACTCGCTGTGACGCTGTAGACGAGAGGCTCGAAGACAGGTCAGATGGTTTTGTCCATTACTGGTACAAAAAGCACAGTATTCCATCTACAAAGTTTAACCGATGTAAATGTTGTCTCCTCAGGCCTAAAAGGAAACTTTGGATAAAGAGAACAGCCAAAGTGCAGCCTCTGAACGACTCCACACTGCCCCCTACTGAAGGTAAGAGTCTGCTCACCCTCATTAACAGCATGGAGGAAACGGTTAATCATGATTGTGTCTCTTTAGATGATTTTGTCCCAAAGAAGAAGAGGAAACACATCTTCAGGAGAGCGTTTAGTTTAGAGGGAAATGTGTTCTCCCATTTATGAAAATGGATGGATAGATGATGTATCCATTTTCTAAATCCAAAACCCAAGGAACTCAAGGAATTTGTGAATTATCTTAAAACTTCAGTTTCAAATGTTCTTGATGGAATCTGACAGAGCAGGAGTTGTTACGTGAAGCAGAAAGGAAAGACAAGTCAGTCTGTAGAAGTGCTAAACTTCTCCTTTGCACAATAACAGCTCAGTCGCAGATAGATTACATGGAGAGTGCTGTGAACAGTTTGTTTTCAGATTTTGCCACAGTTTCTGGATTGGATTTTGGTCTGGACCTGGTGGAAGCTAAACATCCTCCTCAGCCTTAAAGGTATTTTAGAGGATTCTCTTCTTTCAGGAGGATCATCTAAACTTTTGGTCTTCCTAATTGTCAATCATTCTGGTGACAGTGACGTAAGGCCGTCGTACGTGAGCGTCCGTCAGTTGCATGGATCACGGAGCGGAGAGAAGAGCGGCCATGATGAAAGGTAATAAGTTTTAAAAAACGCTGTAATTTTCAAGTGTTGAAGTAACTCAAAGAAAAAGCTTCTGTGACGGACTTTCTCTGTTATAACACTTGTATTTACAGTAATCATTAGATTTCAAAAATATATATTTTATGTGAATATGTGATTTTTTTGATTTTGGCCCTGGATTTTGCATCAGTTTATATAAAGTAATTTGTGTTCGGTCTAAATGTGGAAACATGTATTTACTGATGACAGATGAACACCTGTAAACATTTGGACACTGAAGAGGCTTGGGACGTGCTCTTTCACCAGATTTCAGGTCATTTCTGTATTAGTACTTTCTGAAGTCTTGAAAGCAAACAGCCTGTTACTGATCATGTAGAGTATAAAGGGATACATGTATTCAACTAGAAGTACTTCAATAAAAGAAACATTCTGCTCAGTGATTCTGAGGTTGGAGAAAACAAACAAAGTGTAAATAAATAAAACATCACTTTTCATGAAAAAGATGCTTCACACAAAGAACTCAATCATAACAAACATGTTTTATTTCTTTCCAGATTCTGAAATGAAGCTGAAACGCAACTTCAACTTGAAAGACCAGCCACGGCTCTCACCGCCAGGGCCAGCCAATCACACAGCCCGGCCAGCCTCTCGAGCCTCAGCCAATCACACAGCCCGGCCAGCCCCTTGACAACCCACTGACAGCAAAGCGGCCACTCCCCGATAAACGGCCCTTCCTGAAGCTTTTAATACCCACCACCTCCACCTCTGGTCTCTAACTCTCCATGACTTATGGGCGACACGGTGGTGCAGCGGTTAGAGCTTGTGCCTCACAGCAAGAAGGTCCTGGGTTCTATTCCATCTCCAGGCCTTTCTGTGTGGAGTTTGCATGTTCTCCCCGTGTCTGCGTAGGTTTCCTCCGGGTGCTCCGGTTTCCCCTACAACTAAAAAAATATGTAAAATTGGTTTATATAAATAAAGATGACTTACTAACTATGAGTTTGTCGTAGTTGATTTAATAATCCACGGTGAAGCTGGAGCTGAAAGAAGCAGAAACCAGGAAGAAGAAACTATGGTGTTTTTGGTGCAGTCGGAGAAAGAATGAAAGAAAACACCACACATTTAACATACTTTTCATACTTCATATTTATTTAATCCCAATTATTAAGAGCCTTGTTTTTTTCTATTTACCATAAACTTCTTAAAATCCATTCAGTATTTGATATTATTGAAGCCCGGGATGGCCCACTCATGGTGTGCCTCCCTCTACGTACGCTGCTGCTTCACCTGGTTCTTCTGACTCGTCAGGCACCTCGTGATAATCACAGTACATTAAAAATGAAGACAACAATATAATCCCTAAGTTGCAGGACAGCTACACAGCTGTTTCTCTTGGCTAACATCAAAGTACAAGTTTTACTTCAAGAACATTTGAAACCGTAAAGGGCACAGTATTAATGGTCTTATGAATACAGATGTACTGAATAGTTAATGCTAAAAAGAGACAAAACATGATTGCAGCACATATGTTTGGATCAGTGTTAAAATAGACACACGTGGGCGGCACGGTGGCTGAGTGGATAGCACTCTCGCCTCTCAGCAAGAAGGTCCTGGGTTCGAATCCCGGCCGGACCAGGGCCTTTCTGAGTGGAGTTTGCATGTTCTCCCCGTGTCTGCGTAGGTTTCCTCCGGGTACTCCGGTTTCCCCTACCACTAAAAATATGTACAATAGGTATGGCATGTGCCTCCTGTACTGGCGACCCCACTCCCAACAATTGTAAACCGCTTTGAGACTCCGATGTGCAGTGAAAAGGCGGTATATAAATAAAAGCTTACTTACTTACTTACTACTTACAAGCTACAATCACGTTGGGCCTCATTTATGAACCTTGCGTCTGGCCGAATCAGGGTGGAAATGAGGCGTACGCAGAAAATGTATTCGTTGAGCAATATCTTTCGTCTGCTGTTTCTTCGTTTTTAAATCTGATTTGTGTGCAGTATTATTTTGATCTGTATTATTCTTAAAATGTGAAGCGCTTTGTGATCCAGGACTGTGAAAGGTGCTATACAAATACACTTGACTTAATAACTTACGCAACAGGGATGTGTGACCATCTGTGGCAGGCCCTGCGGTGCGGCTATCTGTTTTTCCTCATTCACATCTGGTAAAGCAATGTTTTTTTTCATTAGATTTGTGTAAGCCTCGCACAGACACACACCTCATAAACGCACCGATGCACCATGGTCTTCTCACTCCAAATGTCTCACTGCCCTGTCCATGTAGCAGTTTATAGACAGGATGGCCAGGCGAGTATCTCTTGGGCAGTGCGCAGAGGATGCCATTAGAGGTCGCGCTGCATGAATTTTGGATTCAGAGTTTCTCTGAGAAATCCTGGAGCACAACTTCACAAAAGCTTCTCATCCTCTCACTCACAGAGATCGCTCTGTTGCATTCAGATGCTGCAGACGCTTCATTCAGTTAATGATGAGATTCATGAATTCTTTATTTATTTACTTCAACAATTCAAGAGGGATTTTTTGTAATGTATCAAAAAAGTGTTGCAAATTTGTTCAAAGAAAACGCAGCTGAATATAGCGTATATTTATTTTTACATAAACATGAGCAAACAAACTTCAACTGCTTCATCAGCTGAACTGTCGGAAAAACAGGGACAGGCAGTTTCTGAATATTTCTAGGCGTGACTTTCATAAATACACTAGTTTTGAGCATAGCATTTATCAACAGCTGCGTACGGTCAGATCTGTGCAGATCTCACACGTTCATAAATCCGGCGTAGAGTCTGGAGTAAATGGAATCTACACCAAAAATATATACCCTTTTCTGCGCAAGTTTCTAAATGAGGACCGTTGTCTCGAGGTTCCAGAGTTGTAAAAAACAATCTGAAAGCCATATCAGTAAATTCATTAAATGTACCATAAAAGGAGAACAAAGAAAGTGTCAAGTTTCCTCGTGATCTTGGCCTCTTTCCCTCACATTGACGGGGTATGTTTTAGATTATAGATTAATCAAATTTTTTTTTACTAGGATGGCTATTGTAGGCTTTTACTTGGTATGTGCACTCTTGTGGACATCCTACAGAATAACAACAGGTTATTCTGTAAGATGTCTGTGCCATATTATGTGGCAATTTAGCAGTGTCATCCAACCAACTTCAGCCCGAGCAATACAATCACCTATGCTTGTTGTAAATCTCAGACCCTCTGGAATCCAGTTGTTGACTTATTTATTTTGAAGAAGATGACATGGTCTGGGATCGCGTCTTAAATTCAGACAGAAGACATGTTTTATTGTCGATGGTAGAGACAGCACGAACAACACGAACAACAGAATGCAAGTGTATTATACAGAGCGGAGGCATGGAGACCTCCAATCAGCAGCTTCCACGGTGCCATGTAGCTTGGCCTTCAGATAGACAAAACAAGGGAAAAGTACTGGCTTCTGCACATTGATAGAATGATGAGTTTAACTTTAACAAAAGTTGCTTAAAAGTGTTATGAAATCTCACATTCCCCCCTCTGGTCATACATTCACGTGTGACCATCAGGATCGATAAACCGCAACATAAGATCATATCTCAATACTTCAAAAACTCATAAACTCGGTACTTCAAAAAACTCATAACTCGGAAAACTTCAAAAACTCATAAAACATGTTCAGATCTGTCATAAAACTTGTCAACAATCTTCAGTAAAATACCAAACTTCATCAGTCGATGGTGGTTCCAGATATTGCTTTGAAAACAGTCTCTCCCACTTCTTTGTTTTGATTCTTCAGGCTGCATTTGTGCCGAGCCATGATTCTTCTGTGACGTGTCGTTCAATCACACGTTTCAACTTTAGTGTCCAGATTCAGCAATTCAATTCAGTCCAAATTATGTCCAAATTCAGATATCCAATTGTTCCAAATCATGTCCAAATTGTTTAATCCAATTTTTCCAAATGGTGTCCATGCAAAAGAGGACGATGGTATTGTCCATGTCTCAGCAGCTCACAGCCTGACTGGAATCAGGGGCTGTGCAGATTGTCCATGGGCTGATCCAGATGCATTCTCTTGAGGTTTCTCAGTTTTGGCTTGAAAAAAAAACACTTTTTGTGTAAAAAAAAAAGTAGTCTTCTGTTCTCTAGATGTTACAGACAAGGCCCGCATCCTCCACCACCTGAAGAGGATGTGCCAAGTCGGGGATCGTGTCATAAATTCCGACAGAAGACATGTTTTATTGTCGATGGTAGAGACAGCACGAACAACAGATACAACAGAATGCAAGTGTATTATACAGAGCGGAGGCATGGAGACCTCCAATCAGCAGCTGCCACGGTGCCATGTAGCTTGGCCTTCAGATAGACACAACAAGGGAAAAGTACTGGCTTCTGCACATTGATAGAATGATGAGTTTAACTTTAACAAAAGTTGCTTAAAAGTGTTATGAAATCTCAAAATTTGTTATTGATATATTCCATATAGATATTTATGTATTGTTATATTCTATATATGTTATAGTCTATATACTGACATTTGTTTTATGATTGTGTCACAACATTCCAAATAAAATACAGCTGTGGTGTGAATGAATAAGGACGTATCATAGATAGATAAATAGATACTTTATTGATCCCCCGAAGGAGAAATTCAGGTGTCCAGTAGCAGCAAAAATGAAAATAAAATGTATCATTCTAAGAACACAATAATAATAATAATCAGCAACACCCCTTTAGGTCACAGCAGCACAGGTGGAGTAGCCTCTGGGTGGAGCAGGACGGGTCACAGCAGCAGAGGTGGAGTAGCCACTGGGTGGAGCAGGACGGGTCACAGCAGCAGAGGTGGAGTAAGTAAGTTTAAGTTTTTATTTATATACCGCCTTTTCACTGCAGATCTGCGTCTCAAAGCGGTTTACAATTGTTAATTTTTGGGCATTTGTCTCTCACTCCACACAGAGATGGGAGCAGGGTCACCAGTACAGGAGGCACATGCCAGAACTATTGGACATATTTTTAGTGGTAGGGGAAACCGGAGTACCCGGAGGAAACCTACGCAGACACGGGGAGAACATGCAAACTCCACTCAGAAAGGCCCTGGTCCGACCGGGATTCGAACCCAGGACCTTCTTGCTGAGAGGCGAGAGTGCTATCCACTCAGCCACCGTGCCGCCCGAGAAGCCACTGGGTGGAGCAGGACGGGTCACAGCAGCAGAGGTGGAGTAGCCACTGGGTGGAGCAGGACGGGTCAAAAGGTGGAGTACCCGCTTGATTCAGACCATTTTCTCTGCTCTAGTCCAAAGTAAAATGCTAAATGCTTCATTAGCATTTATCAAAATGTTAGCATTCCTCCGGTGGATTTTCACCTGATCCACTTGGTTCTGACCATGAATCCTTTCTGCTCTGGTCTGGACCAGTGTAAAACCATGAACACTGTACTGCAGCAACATCTCAGGCAGAAAAAAGCAAGAAAAAGAAAATTGATGAAGCACAAAACATCAACTGTTTTAGAGCTACTTAGGACTTGCAGCCGTTTCCAGGCGTATCGTTCAAAAAAAGGGTCATCGTATCATGACCCTTTTTAAATTCCTTAATCCAGTCAATCCAGCTCAAACTCAGTTTTTAAAATCCAGGTCGTCGGCTCCAGGTCAAGTCTGATGACTGTGAATTTTTCCCAGACGTAAGACAAAAAGAGACTTGGACAAACTGCGTAGTTCAAATAGAGTTTTTATTATCAGAAGGTTTGAACGTAGTCTGATCAAGCACAACGCAGCTCCTGCAGAAGTCTGGCTGTACAGGTGAAGAGTGGCTCCTTATATACACCTTAAATGATTAGGTAAACATAGACTTTGGAAGCATGACTATGCAGAAGAAAGCGTATGGTTTCAATGTTCAGTTGAGATGGCCTAAGATGTCATAACTATGATCTAAGTATGGCTTCGTAATGGACCAAACTTCAATGTACATGAGATAGTATTATCTCATGTACTGTACATCAACACTTTATCTGTTTTATGCTTTTGTAAGCTGTTTAAAGTACAGGTGTACGCTATTTTGAACTCTATTGAACGGTTTAACATGATATTTTAGCAAGCAAATAGTAATTAAATATTCACATGACCTATAGTCTCTTACTAAAAAGTTAGATCGTAAATGTTTATTATGCTCTCATAATGCCTTATGCCAATGTTGCCACAAGGCTATCCAGTTACATCTTGGGACCTTCATCCTCGCCCTTCACATGTCTATTATCTACCGCTATCGAAGGTGCGTAAAACTAAGTCTCTGATTTTTTTTTTTTGCTTGTTATTTGCATAATTATAGAGGCTTGACCGCCTAAGCTAGCTATAACAAATCTGTCAGTCCATAAAGTGCATTATCAAATGTGTGTACAAAAATCAGGCCAACCTGTTTACGGTCATTTCATTTACGACTTGTCATATTTAGCTGTTCTACTTGTACAGTGTTGGCTAGTTTAGGAGGACTAATATCCTACAAACTACATGGAAACCTTGAATAGTTCTGATCATGCAGGTTTTCTTTGTAAGTTGGTCCTCAGCGATGGGCACCAGTTGCTGATCCATACACTGCAGACCAGCAGGATGTATCATTTGGTCGACTGCGTTTGCAGTAAATGGGCCACAGCTCTGAAACTTGTAGCAGCCGAACTGAAAGAGACTTGAATGAGTTTAAAATCATTTAAAAGGAACCAAACTTGTGAGCACAATGCAAGGATAGTCTCTTGTAAATATGTTGTACTGTGTAATCTGTATTTCTATAATGATGTAGTAAATGTGACATGGAGCTTTCGCGAAAGTTCACTGTGGTAGACCCGGCTGCTGCTGCCCAGGCCACAGGCTGCTCTTCCTCGACTTATCAATACCAGTCAACCAATAACCACCAGGACAGCAAGTTAAAAGCCTGAGACGCCCACTTCCCGGCCTTCTGAAGTCTGCAAGGTGCATGTCGCTAACGCAAATGAAGCTCTTCGCGAAAGTTCACTGTGGTAGACCCGGCCGCTGCTGCCAGATCTACAAGCCTGCTCATCCTCAACTCATTACACCAGCAACGCCCACATCTAATCAACCAATAACCACCAGGACAGCAAGTTAAAAGCCGGAGACGCCCATTTCCCGGCCTTCCGAAGCCAGCAAAGCTTCTGAAGTTGCAAATTGTTGTCAGCGTACCATACCTGTCTACCATGCGTCCTTCACCCCGTGCTCGTGCGTCCCCGTCTGCTTCGGGCTCTTCGCCTGGCTCTCTGGACGACCTGTTCGTTCCCCCCTCGCCTGTGCCCGACCGGTCCCGGAAGAGCGCGCGCCTGGCGTCCCAGGATGCTGGATCCGTCCTCACCTTCCTCACGGCCCGTGGTGTCGTGCCTGGTCCGGATGCTACCCCGCTGCAGCTCCAGCGCCTCGTGGAGCAGCTGTCAGCTGATTCCGCCTCCCCCCCCCCAGCTCCGGACTCCCCTCCTCGCAAGCGCCGTCGTAAGGTCAACCACCTGCCGCCGACGCGTGCCTGCCCCCCTTCCTCTGCGCTCGACGGGCCCCTGCTTCCCCCAGCGCCTCGTCCCATCGACGTCTCCCGGGCCGCCCCCGCGGTTCCCGGCGTGCCCCCTCCCCTGCCGGATCCTCTCGCGGCAGCCTTCGCGGCCCATGTGGCAGCTGCGGCTCAGGACCGGGAATTGCTGTGCGCGCGCACGGACGCCATCCTATTGGCGGTGGCATCCATCCAGAGCTCGGTGGCCGCAGTGTCCGGCCGGCTCCGCGTCGTGGAAACCCAACCTCCCATCCCCGCCGTGGTTCCGGTGGCCGTTCCCGCCGCTGCCCCTCCCGGGGACTCCCTGGCCGTCGATTTCACCCTCTCCACGGCCGTGGCGGCTACGGCGTCCGGTAGGCCCTTCATCAACGCATACTCAAATGTTTCCCCGCGGCTGCGGTCAAAAATACTGCTGGGACGCTACATAAATCTAGTTTCTCTCATCCTCCCCTCCCCCGAGTGTGACAGGCAGGTGGCGGCCTCCTCCCTGGTCACTGCGGTTGTAAAAAACGCTGATCCCCGCCTCTCACGGGATCTATCCATCGGGGAGTTCCTCGTGGCCTTCGGCGTGTACCGGGACGTCCTGTGCTCCGTGTACCCCGAGCGCAGGCCCGAGCTGGATGCCTATCTAGGCCTAATGGGGGACCTGGCCCTCCGCTATGGCGGTTCTCATTTCTATCGTTACCATCGGGCCTTCGCCGCCAAGGCCGCGGCCCTCGTATCCCAGGCTAACGTCAGAGTGGACTGGGCGGTCCTGGATACGGAGGTTTTGCTGCTGTCCGTCGGAAGTGCCCCCGCGGTTTCCTGCTCCCGGTGCGGCGCGACCGGCCACAGCTCTCCCCTCTGCCCCTCTGTCCCGTTCGACGTCGCCGCTGGTCAGCCTCCTAGGCCCCGCGCGCCTTCATTTCCCAAAACGGAGGTACATGATCAGAACAGTGTGTGCCGTTCGTTCAACGCGGGCTCATGTACTTTTTCATCGTGCAATTATCTCCACGTTTGCAGTGTGTGCAGGGAAGCCCATCCACGTTTCGTGTGCCCCCGTCGCCCCCGCCCGGGCCGCAGTTCCGGGGGGCCTTCGTACAGGCCTTGATCTCCACCCACCTCTCAACCCCCGTCTCCGTGCCCGCGCTGGCCCGCGCGCTCGCGCCCCATCCTGACCGGGCCTTCGTTGACTTTCTCCTCACAGGCCTGGCCCGGGGCTTCCATGTCGGAGTGGCGGCTCTCCCCTCGGCGTCCTACGTGTCCCGCAACCTACAATCCGCTCTCCGCGAGCCTCTCGTGGTCACGCAGCTCCTCGCGCGGGAGGTGCACAAGGGCTACATCATCGGCCCCTTTTCCAGGCCCCCATTTTTCCCGTTTCGCTCCAGCCCGCTGGGGGTTGCCACACGCAAGTATTCCGGGAAGAAGCGTCTTATATTTGATTTGTCCCACCCCCGCTCCGGGCCCGTTCCGAGCATTAACAGTCTCATCCCTCTTGAGCCCTTCTCCTTGCAGTACGCCACCGTGGATCACGCAATCCGGCTGGTGAAGGCCTTCGGCCCTGGGGCCTGGCTGTCTAAAGCGGACATCACGGACGCCTTCAAGCTGCTGCCCATTCACCCCGACCACTGGCACCTGTTCGGAGTAAAGTGGCGTTCCGGCTTTTATTTTGCTGCTCGCCTCACGTTTGGCTGCAGGAGCAGTCCTTCCTTATTTAATAACCTTTCTGAGGCCTTGTGCTGGATTTTGTTGAACGACCTCCGTCTCCCTTCTGTCCTCCATCTCTTAGATGATTTTCTCCTCGTCGACCCCCCCGCGGACGGCTCCGGGGACTCGCTCCGTAGGCTGAAGTCGGCCTTCTCGGCCTTCGGGGTCCCCCTGTCCGAGGAGAAGACCGTGGGCCCTGCCACCGCCCTGGAGTTCCTCGGCATCCGCCTCGACACACACGCCATGGAGGCCTCCCTCCCGCTGGAGAAGCTCCTGCGCGTGCGCGCTGTGTCACAATCTGCCCTATCCTCTCCCTCCATCACGAAACGCGAGCTGCTCTCTCTGCTCGGGCACCTCAATTATGCCATCCGCATCATTCCTCAGGGCCGCTCTTTTATTTCACGTCTTCTCACCCTCGCGGGTTCGGTTCCCTCCCTGCACGACACGCTCACCCTGGACGACGGGTGCCGCTCCGACCTGGACTTCTGGTCGCGCCTGCTGGACCGCTGGAACGGAATTTCGTTTTTTTATGACGATATCGTCCGGTCCTCCGACGATCTCCGCTTCTACACGGACGCTGCCCCTTCCGTGGGTTTTGGGGGATTCTATCAGGACCAGTGGTTCGCCGGGCCGTGGCCCGCTACTTTTCCCCGGAGCATCTCCTCGGCCTTACACGAAATCTACCCCGTGGTCGTGGCCTGCGCGCTCTGGAGTCATACGTGGCGGAGAAAAAGGATCTCCGTAATGTGTGACAATCTCGACGTAGTGGAAGCACTAAACAAAGGCCGCTCTTCTTCGCCTAACATTATGTCTTTCCTCAGACGCATTACTTGGTTCTCTGTTTTGAATAATTTTATAATCACTGCACGCCACGTCCCCGGTCACCTTAATCAAATCGCTGACTGTCTCTCTCGTTTTAAATTTCAGGAGTTCCGGCGCCTCTGCCCCTCTGCCTGCACGGAGCCACGTGCGGTTCCCACCATGGACCAACTAACCCTGGACTAGTCTCTCCTTCCTTCTCACACCTCCTCTCCTCTGCTTCATCCTATATGAAAAAGGGCCTCTCCCCCTCTACTCTATCTACATACAGCTCCGCATGGAGAACCTATTCCCTCTTCTGCCACGCTCACAACATCCCTTCATTACCTCCATCCGTATCTACTGTCATAGCCTTCATAGTTCACTGCTCAGACAATCTCCATCACAAAACAACCTACATTCGCACGCTGCTCTCTGGCATTCAGTTTCAGGCCCGCTGTCACAACCCCGCTTTCTCCTCTCTATTCTCTGAACCCGCAATTAAACTCCTCTTCAAAGGCATTAACAAATGTGCTCCCCACTCTTCTGACCACCGGCTCCCCATCACGCTGCCCATCCTGGAACAGCTCTGCACCACACTGAACTCCGGCTCTTTTTCAAAGTACACGTCTGCTCTCCTTCGCTGCGCCTTTCTGCTCGCCTTTTATGGCTTTCTCCGCATAAGCGAGTTCACCACTGCTCACTCTACGTTCAATGCGGCCCTAGACATTGCTTTCTCCGATCTGACCTATTACCCTGACCATTTCAACCTCCGTCTCAAACATTCAAAAATCAAAGGAGCCTGCAATATAGTAATAGCTCGCTCGGACACATCTCTCTGCCCCTACAAATCCATGATGCGCTACACTCGCCTCCGCTACAAAAAAGGAGATTTTAACGGACCTCTCTTTCTCACTCCAGACATTCTTCCCATGACAGCCACCTGGTTCAGAGCGCAACTAAGATCCCTACTGCTCCTATGCAAATTATCTCCCCAGCTCTACACAGCCCACTCCTTCCGGATAGGCGCTGCCACGCGCGCGGCCTCGCTGGGGCTCCCCCACACCTCTCTGCAACAGCTGGGGCGCTGGTCCTCTTCGGCCTTCTCCGCCTATATCAGGCCAGACGCGTCCGCCATCTTGGCTGCTCAACGGCAACTGGCTTCCTCGTAAGCTCCCAGCAAAGCAATACAAAGCAAGTAAGTGAACCAATAGGATTTCTGGTGGCGGCACGCACTTTAAAGATAACTCTGCACAGCGTCTGGTACCGATCGTGATGCGAGCGCTCACGTCCCAGACAGCGTCCGGTTGATCGTGATGCGAGCGCACACGTCCCGGCGCTTAAAGATAACTCCACTGCAACGTCTGGTACCGATCGTGATGCGAGCGCTCACGTCCCAGACGGCGTCCGGTTGATCGTGATGCGAGTGCACACGTCCCGGCGCTTAAAGACAACACTGCTACAGCGTCTGGTATCGATCGTGATGCGAGCGCTCACGTCCCAGACAGCGTCCGGTCGATCGTGATGCGAGCGCTCACGTCCCGGCGCTTAAAGATAACTCTGCTACAGCGTCTGGTATCGATCGTGATGCGAGCACTCACGTCCCAGACAGCGTCCGGTTGATCGTGATGCGAGCGCTCACGTCCCGGCGCTTAAAGATAACTCCACTGCAGCGTCTGGTATCGATCGTGATGCGAGCGCTCACGTCCCAGACAGCGTCCGGTCGATCGTGAGCAAGCGCTCACGTCCCGGCGCTTAAAGATAACTCTGCTACAGCGTCTGGTATCGATCGTGATGCGAGCGCTCACGTCCCAGGCAGCGTCCGGTTGATCGTGATGCGAGCGCACACGTCCCGGCGCTTAAAGATAACTCTGCTACAGCGTCTGGTATCGATCGTGATGCGAGCGCTCACGTCCCAGGCAGCGTCCGGTTGATCGTGATGCGAGCGCACACGTCCCGGCGCTTAAAGATAACTCTGCTACAGCGTCTGGTATCGATCGTGATGCGAGCACTCACGTCCCAGACAGCGTCCGGTTGATCGTGATGCGAGCGCTCACGTCCCGGCGCTTAAAGATAACTCCACTGCAGCGTCTGGTATCGATCGTGATGCGAGCGCTCACGTCCCAGACAGCGTCCGGTCGATCGTGAGCAAGCGCTCACGTCCCGGCGCTTAAAGACAACTCTGCTACAGCGTCTGGTATCGATCGTGATGCGAGCGCTCACGTCCCAGGCAGCGTCCGGTCGATCGTGAGCGAGCGCTCACGTCCCGGCGCTTAAAGACAACTCTGCTACAGCGTCTGGTATCGATCGTGATGCGAGCGCTCACGTCCCAGGCAGCGTCCGGTTGATCGTGAAGCGAGCGCTCACGTCCCGGCGCGCAAAGATAACTCTGCCCGTTTTTGGGGATTATGCGCGCGAGCAAGCGCCGCACTCATCAGCATCTCTCCCGGGCCTAGGGCGCCAAACATA